CCCCCACGGGCGCGGCCCAGAAGAGGCGGCGCAAACATCTGGCCAAGTGCCCCGCAGGGAGGACCAATCCTACAGCTGGCCCCACACTGGCACCTCCCTTGGGTCACAGGCCAGCAAACCTAAAGGGGGTCGCCCGAGGGAAACACACACACGCGCGCGCGCGCGCGCACACACACACACACACACACGCACACACACACACACACACACACACACACACACACACACACCACACAGAAGAAGTGACCTTTCCGCCCTTTCCCTTCTAGAAACACCAGGGCGAAGTGACCTTTCCGCCCTTTCCCTTCTAGAAACACCAGGGCGAAAGGAGACTAGCGCCTCCAGAGAGGAGCGGGAGCGAGAGGCTTTTGGCGCTCAGGGAGAGCGGGAGGTCATCTTGGGGAGCTTAGCCCAAGGCCCAGGCCTCTTTCAGGGAGCCTGCGGAAACAGGGCCCAACCACCCCGACTCTGGTGAACCAGAGGACGGCGGGAATGTGGGCTATCAACTTTGGGCCAGGGCCTCAGGGCGCCCCTAGCAGAGCTAGGGTCACCGGTGGGAAGCTGATGAGACCCAGGGAGTTGGAGTAGAAGGCAATTGGAGATGGGAGACTCGGTCGCCAAGAGTGCAAGCATTCTCCCACCCGTTAAACAACCTCTTGGTGTCTCCCGGGCTGCTGAAGCCCGGGGTAGGTGCTACCCCGTCGCGCACCCCGTGGGGTTGGCGGTGGCGGCCGCGTGAACCCTCACTCCCCTTTGGAGCCCGAGCCTTCCAACGCGGGTCAGATGCCACTTCCCAGGTGTCCTGGATCCGCACAGACTCAAACAGGTTCGGGGCAGTTCCTTGTGCGGTCGTGGTCCCCTGGTTCTCTTAGCGGCTGTAGAGTTGCAGGCTGCTGGGAGTCTGGTCTTGGGAACCGGGTGCCTGACACGGGAATTCCGACTCCTGGTGCCACTACGGCGTTCCTCTCCGTCTAGCCCTCAGCCCAGTCTGTGAGGAGCTTGCAGGTCCACTGGCTCCTGGGACCTGCAGACATCCCTCATCCGCGCCGGGAGGACTGGACTCCGACTCGCTGCGCTTTGCAGCAGATGCTTCCGGCCTTTTCCTGGGACCCTCTGAGAACCCGAAGTTGGAAGGCTTCCAAGGCGTAGCCTAGCCCTCAGTAGACCGCTGTGGGCTTCACGCGGTACACACACCCTGGCCCTTAGCGCCCAACAAAAACACAGTGCGCCGAGTGGCTCGACGTCGCACTAGGCGGGAACCCGGAGGACCTCGCGCTTTGCGTTTTCGGGTTCGGAGCTGGACTTGATTTTCTGGGTCCTGCAGTAAAGTGCACGCAGTTTGCCAGTGTCTAAACCTGCAGTCCCTTCACGGGAACTCTGTGAAGCGCTGTGCCTTCGGCTGCCCCGGACTTCGCCGGGAAGGGGCTCCGGGCGAGCAGAGCTGAGCACCCACCCCGTCGCTGCCACGTAGGCCTCCCCGGAGAGCGCTCCTGAACCTCAGATCTACAGGAAGGGTTTGACGCCTCCCCTACCCCAGGATTCCCGACCCTCAATTATGGAGTCCGGAGAATTCCTTCCCGGCTTGAAAGGGATTACCCAGATAGTAGAAACATGGTTAAGTGGGGGTGGGAGAAAGCCGGCAAATGACAAGCCCTGAAACTTCTCAAACGAATCCCCCAGTTTTTAACAGGAAAGCGCATTTGAACTCTAGAGACCGGATTTTCACAGTGGCAGCCGCTTCCGGCATCAGCAAGACACTTTCGGGTCTCGGGTTTTGAGAGGTGGCAAACGCGATTGAAGTGGGCATAGGGTAGCTCTAGGCCCAGAGCCTGACTCAACAGACACCCAAACGTCACACACAGGGCTATGGAACTAGGGTCACCAGCGCCAGACATCCAAAGTACATGAATTTGGGCATGGGTCTCAGTACTAGAGGTTTTTCATCTGGGAAGGAGTGCAATGTCTGTGGAATAACGAAGAGCCCCCGCGTCTAGTTGGGGCTAGAGCTCTCCCGAGGGAGTTAGAGCCTGGGATCCTCGGGGCAGGACTCTTGGCTATCCACAACGTGCATGCAGGACAGTATTAAGTTAGAAGCTCTGTTTAAAGGTAAAAAAAATAGAGAGAGAGAGCACTCTCTCTCTCTCTCTCTCTCTCTCTCTCTCTCTCTCTGTGTGTGTGTGTGTGTGTGTGTGTGTGTGTGTGTGTGTGCTGTATGCGTGGATATATGTGGTGGCACAAGGAAGTCTAAGGTTGAGTCCGAATGTCTCCCTCAATCACTAGCCACTTTATTTTTAAACCTGGAACTTATTTTTCTCTGCTAGACCACGGGCTAGCGAGCCCTAGCCTGTGTGTTTGTCTCCACCGCACTGTGCTGACGTTATAGAACCCCTATCCCCTCTTTACTTTTTACATGGATTCTGGGGATCCAAACTTAGGTCCTCATGCTGTGTAAGCCACCTCGCCGGGTCCTGAACAAGTTTTACTTGGAGCTGACCATAGTTTTTAGCACAGACACTACTGGTCTCTGACGCCTAGACTGGCATTGGGCCCAGCTCAAATTACAAGCCTCTTCCTACTAAACACTAAGGTGACTGCCTGGCTTACACTACAGCGAGTTAGACTAGCTGAAGTTACCTCTGCCCCACACAGGAACTAATTGGTCAGCCAAAAACTATGTAGAATGATGAGGACAAAAGGACGATGTCCACGGGTGGGGGCTAACTAGCATTTGAACTCTAGAGACCGGATTTTCACAGTGGCAGCCGCTTCCGGCATCTTCAAGTCTTGGGTTTTGAGAGGTGGACATAGTAACTCTAGGCCCAGAGCCTGACTCAACAGACACCCAAACGTCACACACAGGGCTATGGAACTAGGGTCCCCAGCGCCAGCCATCCAAAGTACATGCCTTTGGGCATGGGTCTCAGTACTAGAGGTTTTTCATCTGGGAAGGAGGGCAATGTCTGTGTGGAATAACGAAGTGTCAGCAGCAGCCTGGGGGACGCTGGAATCCCAGGTGCCACTGAGAAGTCACTCTTCACCCACTGTCTGGAGGGCAAGTGTGAGGGCGAGTGTGAAGAGGTGGTTTGCAGTTCTGCTGACTGACCGGCCTGCCGGCAGGGCACCCACACCCTTAGTCTCCTGGATCAGCACAGCCCACCAGCCCAACCTCTCAGAAATTTTCCATTAGGAAACTAATCTGGATGAAATTTGGGCCCTAAGAAGAAAGGGGTGGGCCCGGGCTGCTCCACATCTGTTTGGATTTTCTGCTTCAGAGGCTTGCAACCATTCTTGCCAGGCTGCATACCCGTGCCTACCTGAGGCCCATCCCCAGCAAAACCGACTTTGGGGTGAGCTCAAGGTCCCTCGAAGATGTTCCTCCCAAGATGGGCTCTGGGGAAGCTGGTGCTTGCAAGAGGCCCAGAGTCAGAGATCAGGCCACCGCCCAGGTGTGTGAGGGGGTGGGGGAGAACCCTCTTGTCCCTGGCTTTGCCTCCAGCCTCTAAGTGAAATTTAAGAACTTCAACCTCCTGAGCTAAGAGAGGAAACAGAAAATCTTGAGGCCTTGGAGATAAGAAACGATTTGATTTCTAAGCCTAGGCAATCGGTGGGCTGAGCTTACTCAGTGAAACTGACTCCTGCCCAGCATCACAGATGTGACTGTCGCATAACTGGAAGCCTTTGCTGGTGTGAGCTACCCCAAAAGGACACTTCAGCTCCCGGCCCTCATTCCTCTCCATGTATAAATTACACGACTTCCCTCGGGGTCAATGCCATTCCCAGACAATTGTAGTGTTAACAAACACATTGTTTGAAAAATAATTACAGGTAGCCAGAGTGATTTCAGAATAATTTATTCTGGCAGAGGTCAAGACAGTAACACTCTGTTCCTTCCCACCTAGACAAAATGCCCTCTGCTCCCTCCCCCGTCTCACAGACAGTTATTTCTTTAGAGAAAGTGTTTGCTTTAGTTTGGTGCAGGCGTCTAATTACCTTACTGGATCTCAGTAACAGGACAGATCCACCTTTCCACACGGGGTGTAGGGGGCAGGTTTGCTGAATCTGAGGTTAGAGTCCTGGGAACAGCCACGCTGGCAGTCAGGACACCAGCTCTAGTTGCTGTGAGCCTCTCCTGGCCCCATGGAAAGAGGTGTCCCTAAGCCCTGGGCACCTGCCCTGCGGTGGGGGTGGGGGTGGGGTCAGGACTCTGAGAAG